AAGAAAAAGTATCATTCTTATGGGTTATTCTGGAATCAATTACTATGGAATGCAGAGGTAAGCTCATATTTTTATCTTCATTTTTTTTCATTCTATTTTTTTTTTTCAGGTGCATATTTATTTGTTATATTGTACTAATAATTTAATATACTTTAAAATTATCATTTACTATAGAACAGTAGTAGGTGTTTTGAATTCAGTTGGCTGATTATATAACAATTCACTTCAATCAAAATTTATAATTTAAGTATTTTGAATACTTAATTTTATTAGTCAAACATTTTAATTTTAGAAATCCAGAAATGAAAACAATTGAAGAAGACTTACTTACTGCATTGTTAAAAGCAAAGTTAATTACTGATGAAGCTTTTGCTCAAGTACAGACAATACAATTTCAAAGAGCTGCAAGAACAGATAAAGGAGTTTCTGCAGCTCGGCAAGTTGTGTCACTTAAATTACGTGAGTACTATTTTGCTTAACTTAATTATATTGATGTGAAACATTTGGTAGATTTTATTTTAAAATTTCAGCTGATGAAGCTGAGCCATCAGCCATTAATGAACATTTACCTGAGGACATAAGAGTATTTGCAGTAAAACGTGTTACTAAAGGCTTTAATTCAAAATCACAGTGTGATGCTCGAACGTACACTTATACACTTCCAACTGTTGCATTTGCAAATCATGACGAAGTTTATGATTCATCAAATTATAGGATTAATAATAATAAAATGGAACAAGTTAGAAAAATACTAAAATATTATGAAGGATCAAAAAATTTTCATAATTTTACTTCCAGAAAGTATGTCACACAATTTTTTCTCTAAATATAAATTGTGTTTTCAAATATTTTTATTCTTATTCATATGGCTACAGTGAACAATTCAATGCTAATTGATGAAATATAAAATAATACTGGCATCAATCAACTATTCATAATTTATCTAATTAAAACATTTTTTGTGTTTAAATTGGAAACTCGTGTTATATTTTAAATCATACATTTTGAATTTGAATGAAGATTTTACTTTCAGAGACTTCTATGATCCATCATCGAGACGTTTCATTGTTTCTTGTACATGTTTGGAACCATTCATAAGTAGAAATATGGAATTTGCTGTTATAAGTATAAAAGGACAGAGTTTCATGTTGCATCAAATACGTAAAATGGTTGGATTAGCTTTAGCTATCATAAGAGGACACACAACAGAAGAAACTTTGGAAAAGGCTTGGACAGAGAGCAGACTAGATATACCTATGGCACCTGGTTTAGGTCTTGTTTTAGATAGAGTTAGTATTTGATGACCTCTTCTACAATATATATATATATATATATATATATATATATATATATTAAACAAATAAACATCGATTTTAGGTGCATTATGATAAGTATAATACTAGATATGGTCTTGATGGTATTCATGAAATATTGACTTGGGAAAAAGAAGAAGAAGAAATAAAACAATTTACTCATAAATATATCTATGAAAAAATTATAGAAACAGAAGTAAATGAGAAATGTATCGTGAGCTGGTTGGAAACGCTACCTTTGCATTCTTATGATGTGAGAGATGAAGGGGCAGAACAATCTTTAAAAAATCTTAGGGATCTTAGAGAGAAATTTAGCACTACAACTTAGTTTTTTTTATGAAAGAATTGAAATAAAATTTTATTTGCATTAGATTTTTGAAAAGCATTATTTAAATGAAATTACAGGTATTATGGTTAATGTACTTTTGAAAAGGTCATTTACAGGCTTTGTGTGAAAAATTATATATGATTAGGACAAGATATCTGAAAATTCAAGAACAGCTTTGGCTTTTAGACCATAATGCTATACTGAATCAGTCCCTCATTGGTATTTGAACAATTTACACCTCTTCTTAAAAATGTTGAGAAAATACAGTTTCATTTGGTTAGTATTATTAAAAATATGCATTTGCTAGCAATCCATATTTTTAAATTCATAGTCTTTGTGACTGTGAAAGATATATATTTGTATATGCTTTAAAAATTAAAATATTCAGTTTTGTATGTTCTAGCGATGGACTACCAAAACCAAGATTTGATAGAAGGGTTGATATCTTATTTTTGATTGAGTACTTTATTTTATCTTCACAGGCACAATCATTCACATGTTTGTTCTAAATTTTAGGAGTTTTGAAATAATATACACTATGTTTTAATTAATTTTTATTAGAAAAAAGTAATTGTTACAATAATTTTTTAGGAAGCCGCTAGACTTTCTAATGCCATTTTTAATGCTCCTTCTCTAGTTTTATTTCCACCTATAAATCCACTAGCATGACAAAAGACAGTATCAGGGATTCCAGAAATTTCTTCCAATTTATCATTTCTAACTCCCCACCATTTTGGGTGAAGAGGTTTTCTAAGAATCAGATATAAAAATTTCTTTAAAAAAATATATATATATAGTAAATATAGTAATAAAGTAACAATCACCTCAAAACAAAACTTTTTGGTTGCACAGGTACAGCCTGAACTCTCCAATTATCATTACTTTGAAATATTACATATTTTAAAACTCCTTCAATTTTTTGCTCTTTCTCTAAATCAAATAAATGATCTTTCCAAGGAAATTGGCCCTTAAGTTCCATAATTTGTCCAGAGGGATCAATTTGAGATCTTTCAAGTAAACAATCTTCTACTAATTTGCGTGCGGGCCACCAGGAATTTGTGTAATACAAAATCCGATCTTCCAGTTCCTTTCCCGCATATGCCATAGCATTTTTAAATAATTCATCTTCAGGAATATTTTCCGTTGAGTTCCAGGTTGGGTTGAAATTAGCAACCCGATAGCTTAAGTTTGTAGATATTGTATAAAGTGGTTCTCCTGCATACATTGGAACTCCATTATCGATGCCATCAATTTCTTGAATAAAATTCTCATATACCTTAAGATATATTACTTTTAAAGCTTCTTCGGACAAACTGCCACCTGTGTTTTTTTTATAGATTGAATTTATTATTTCCTCTCCAAAATGCACATAAATTAATCCAGCAGAACTCAAACTGAAAATCGAATACAAATTGTAATTATAAATTGAAGAAATTCACTATAATAAAGTATGAATCGAGTTGAATTACAATACAGAATATATAGAATAATGTATAAAATTAAAATTATTTTCTAAACGAGAAATTAAAATTTTATAACATAAGTATGAGGATTTTCTCTCAATAACATTTGAGATGTAAATAGATAAAATTTAAGCCGAAAATACGTGAAAAACTAACCGCACAGTCCACTGTTGGCCAAATTCTGGTCGCAGCGAACTAAAAGTTTCTTTGAATTCGCGCTGGTGATGGTCGTATCTGTGAATAGTCTTATCATAAACACCACCTACATCTACTACAATATCACAGTCTTTAAGAAGCGATTCATCTCTTGTTCTAACAATTATACTATTAGAAAATTCTTTGAGTTGCAATAACATATAACAAGCTAAAACTTCGTCACAATGAAAAACTTGATTGTGAGTCCCTATTTTAAGAGGGGAGTTTTTAGAAAATTCTAGATTATGCATTGTAAAATTTAACGGTAGTGGTAAATTAAAGAAAACAACTTTACTACCAGCGCTGCGATACAAACTCCTAACCCCAATCTTGAAAGCGGCAAAACGTGCCAGGTTACCCAATCCTGGAATCATTTTGCCAAAGATAAATGATTTTCAGATTGTGAGCTATGATGGTCGATACGCATCAACATTTTGGCTATTTGTAGGGTTAGGTTTGTGGTTTTTAATACACAACATCATGTTTTAACGTTATGTATTTTTATCTATACACAATATCATGTTTTAACAACATCTTATTTTATTGCATGCATATATACATATACACAAATATATATTTATTTATATATAATCAAATGCTAACATGAAAAATTCAAATTGCTCTGTTCGTTTGCAAACCCTTGTGTACTGCCATCATAGACCTTATATTACATGGACTGCTAGTCTGCATACATTTCACAGGTAAAAAATGTCAAAAGATGTTCACTGTTGCGAAGGTAAATGCATACATAGATAAAAGAAGAGTATAAATAAAAAGAGTAAATGTGCCGCCGAGAAACGTAAAGATAGATTAAATAAATGCATACGAACACGAGCGTGGCCGAGAATAGTTGAATGCTCTCGATCCCTTAAACATCAAATGAAAGTCCGTGTGTTTGGAATTGTTGAGAAAATATTATATAGTATAAACAATTTATGTTGAACTAATGAATATAATGAACTATTTATTTATTTATTAAAGTTGTGTTTATTGTTTATTGATTGTTTGTGATTATTTTAATGTGTTTAAGGAAAATTAGAAAAAATAAAAAAATATTTTATATGTATATTTATATATACAGTTGGCTATTTATAATAGGTGTTATATTGTTGTTTGAAAAGCACAATTTTCGTGTGAAAGTTGTAAAGAATTTTATGTTCTTCATGGTGCATTCAAATTGTTAAGTACATTTTTGTAACAAAGTTGATAGTGCTGGATAAATTACTGAAAATGACTTGATCTAGAAAAATATGCAGGTCCCAAGTCATTCAACTTTTGGAGTTATCATATGAATTTTTGTACATTGAATTTGAGAAATTTCGAATTATACTTTCTATATACAAACAAATTCAACATTTCATCTATGAAAGATATCCACAATTTTTCATATCGATTAATGTCGAATTTTCTGGTTCTCCTACAATCCTCGCAAAGCACTCATTTATTTAATCTATCTTGACGTTTTTCGGCGGCATATTTACCCTCGCAACAGAGAACAACTTTTGACATATTTTACCTGAAAAATGTATGAGGACTAGCAGTCCATGTAATATAAGGTCTATGACTGTCATTCATTTATGAAACTTGCTCAATTGCTCAATTCAATGTTCTATGCCTGAAACGTCAAACTCACTGGATTGTCTGTCAAAGTCGAAAGCCTTGATTTCTGATGTGAATTAAAAAATTTTGGTTTCTCTGTGTACTTAATTTATTTATTATGCACTAATACTGAGGAATATTTTTCAAAGATCATTTGTTTGCCTTATTTGAGATTATTTTAATCAACTAATAAGTTATTTTGCAATATCAATTGCTTTGTATGCAGTGACAATATCACAAAAATTCAGTTTTAAAAAAAAATTGACATGTGGTTCGAAGGAAAGATTTTAGAACAAAATTTATCTGAAAACGTTCCATGCTTATTGAGCGCACAAAAGCGTAAGAACTGGGAAGATGGACTAGTGAATTATTTATAGTATATTTAATATAGCATCTGGACTAGGAATTTCAATTAAAGGACAACGAAAATGTATGCTTTAAAAATGTATGTAAAAATACAACATAAATGAATTAAATCAATAAATACATACGAATACAATCTAAAGACATACGAAAAGCAATTTTAATTAAAATGAAATGGTAATTGACATTATCATGTTATAAGTTCTTTTTCTTTTAGTAAAATTATAAACAGCGACATGTCTCAAGAGTATATGCAATCATTATACAAGTACCTCACAAACAATTACTCTATTGATCATAGTAATATTATTAAACAGCATACAAAACAGCTGGATATTGGAGATTTAAGTTTTCCCATTCAGATGAAATCATGGCACACTTTTCTTATAGAAGACATTTGCAGAGAACGCTTAAAAACAATTGAGAAAGATCCTCAACAATTTGTATCTGATTTAATTTCTGAAAGTGAAAAATGGCCTATTCCTATTCAAACCGTTACATTGACTTCTGATCATTGTTTTCTTAGGTTCAAAAGAGAATGTGGTTTCAAAGTAACATTGAAAAAAGTTTTTGAACAAAATGACAAATACGGTTATGACATAGATCGTTCTTTTAATTATGCATTTGTGCACAGTACTTCAAAATTATCTGAAGACTCACTTACTGAGTTACGAATAAAAACTGCTATAGATGTTTGCAAGAATTTTTTATGCAAATTAGGTTGTACGATTAAGAATACCCCAGATGGTTGTGACTTAAATTTGAATATTTCAAGACATGTCAAAAAGGAAGAAGATACAGGACATCATGTTTCATGTGGTGTTGTTTCAGTTTTGGGGGCACCTAGTAATAATATACCTCCTAAAGACTTTATTGAAAAGCGTTCGTTACAAATGCAGTTACTTGCTCAGCATAAATATGGTATACGATTCTCAAGCAACTGTGATGCACATTTACTTTGCAAACAATTAGGGGAATCAACAGTTAAATTTGAATTATTACAAGTCAAACTTAGTAAACCATTGACGGTTAATATTGAAAACCATGCTTCTTGTTCAAGTAAAGGAATATCCTTTATTCTTTATAATTATGCTCGGATATCCTCTATGTGTGATACTTTTGATACAAAAGTTTCTGAAGGGATTTATCCTGACCTTCCAGCATTTGAAGATATTGACTGCAAACTGTTTTGTAATAACTTAGAATGGGAAATTTTATATTGTTATATATTAAGATTTCCTGCTGTAGTAAACGATTGTGTAAGAGATATTAAAAGTGGATATTTTAATGTACACTATCTGTGCAATTTCTTGTCAGGATTTGTTGGTGTTTTTAGTGTATACTATAAAAATGTCAAAATTTTAGCGTCTAGTTATAGACATATGTCTTCATTAATACATGCAAGAATATATTTCATTAAAGCTATTGAAATTGTAATAAAAAACAGTCTCGTTTTGTTAGATATTGCACCTGTGAAGCGCATGTAATTTTTTTCCAATGATATTTTATTTTCATATATGTTTAATTCCTTGTTTTAATTTATTTGTGGCTTAATAAATGATATGAACTTAGTGTTATATGTTATCTAGCAAACAAAAACTATGTATTTTAGAAATATTTTTTATTTTAATCTTTGATTATTTTTATTAAATTTTGTGTTCTATAAATTCAAATTAATTTTATACATGATTTTTGTAGTTAAGAAAAGACTTTCATTCATATTTAATTTTTATCTAGTTTTAATTTTATTTAAAATTATCTCTATCAAGTGCTACGTAGTATATGGTTGTATATTCTTCATACTTTTATCAAATTCTGATTTTTCAATTCCCATAACATTTTATATAGCCTGCAACTATTTTGTAGTTTTTTTTAAAAAACCTAACTTGAATACTATAATTTATCTAACATTCCAAGTATAGTTATTAAGAAGCAATGTTTAAACATTGCTTCTTAATAACTATACTTAGTTATTAATCAAATTAAAAATCCGATGTTTCAGTATAACTATCCCAGGGTTTTAAAAACACAATTTACAATTACATAAACGCCGGAATTCGTCGTAAATATTGTATGCGTTCTAAAATTCTTATATCTTGTTAATTTACTAAATCAGTGGACTTTTGACAGAACAAACTTTATATTAAAACGTTTAATAAAATACAGTAGAAGTTCCTTATTCGCGCTTCCTACATTTGCATTTTCATTATTCGCGGCCAAAAAAATTGCGACCCAATTCCTATATTCGCTGCTAAAAATTTCGTTATTCGCGGATTCCAATATGTATCGAACCCAAAATCCTTGGTAAATGCCGTCATTTTGAACTAATAAAGAAATCTTTGACATAAGCCGCCTCCGTTGCCTTGGCCGTCTTCGCCGCTACCGATGTTTTTGAGATGATCAATGAAAAAAATATATTTTTAGTAAAATTTGACTTAAATCGAAAAAAATCCACACTTCCAGTCTTGTTTCATACTCGTTTTCTCAACTCTTTGTTTCTTAACGTTGTCAGTTAAATTGTTATATAATTTATTGTAAAAATCAAATACTTTTTTAACTAGTTGACAAGAATCTGTCTGCTGTTTCGTTTCGCTAAGGGAGAAAACTTCAGCAACTCTTTAACCGGTACTGAGGTGTGTTGCTGATGTTTTCAATTCAAATAATAATTGTTATTGGCTGAATACTACTGAACCCTTTGAATAACGCTGTTCCTGTAAGGCTAGGAATTTTTGAACTGGTGATTCTTAGCGTGCTAAGTACAAAAGCCATCGCCTGGCAGGTTTCAACCTGCGAAAGTATCTGCCGGGCGAGCCGAAAGGTTCCCTTTTATGAGCAAGAGGTAAAAGCATTAAAATAATCTTTATCCTATAAGGTTAACATTTATATGTGTTTATATAAGCGGTTTTAAAAAGGTATGTGCAACGCCAAGCCATTCTGTCCAGCCTAAGTCCTTGCCAGGCGAGGACAAAGATGCTGCGGCAGGAGCGTAGTAATCTAACAGGAGCAATGTGAAAACTAGACTAATATTATACATGTAAATTAAATTATGTAAAAATTAAGAAAATGAAATTATGGTAAAAATTGATTTAATTAGTTATGATAAAATATATACTTGATTTTTATCTTCCGGTAGAGTAAGTTATTGTCATAGTTAAAAGAAGAGTATTGTAATCGTCCAAAAATCGAAATTAAAAATTTTTACATTTCTTCGCGTTATGAAAGTTTCTGAACATTTCGGCATACCTCAGAAAAAATGGATGTGTGTGTGTGTATGTATGGATACAATTTTTCGTCCACGTTTTCAGGCGCACGGATCAACTGATTTGAATGGTTTAAAAAACATTCGATTCCTATTAATAGGGAAATATGCTGATTAGTTTTTGGCAAAGGCAGGTCCAGCCGTTTTGGAGATACGGGGCAAAGAGTGAAGAAAATAGAAATCGAGTTTTTGAGAGAACGGGGCATCCGATTCGAATGATCTAAAAAACATTCAATTCGTAATGACAGGGAAAAATAGTGATTAGAATTTGGCAAAGGCAGGTCCAGCCGTTTTGGAGATACCGAGCTAAATGGGCAAAAAATAGGAGTTTTTGAGAGAATTAAGCATCTGATCTTAAAAAACTTTCTGCTTGTTTTGACAAACTAATTGCTTTTGAAAAAAAAATGATTTCAAAAATTTTTTTTGAGCTTTGAAGCTCACTTATATACTTTAAATAAATAATTTTAACTTTGTAATTCAGTTTATATAACCCCTATAAATATTAGACAATGTTACAGTATTTATAGTAATCTATATGAAAACATCTAATATTTCTCGAACATATTACTTTACGGTACGGCAAGTTCCAGCAATTTGCCAAGGCACAATGCCATACACAACTAGTTTAAATGAAAAAGGAAAAGATGAGGTTGAAAAGTTAACTCTAGGGTGATTGTCAACGCTGATGTTACTCTTAGTAAATCGTGTCCCCCACAGATGGCCGTTGTATTAAGCGTTCAACATTATTCTTCTTTCATCCCGACAGTTGCGAACAAGCGGCGGTGAGACGAGTGACAGCGCTTAAAGTGAACAGATCTAAAAGGCGAGCACATAGTTAATACGTGCTGCTCATGTGCAGTATTTATATGTAAAATGAAGACGGTTATGTTTGAAATCTCATTTGGTATTTAAATGTGTAATAGTTTTATAATAGCAAGTGTTTGACCAAAATATATCGCGACAAGATGTTAATCAAAACATCCCATTTAACTTTTTCATCAAGTATTGTGGATTCGGCTTATGTTTCACAGGTGTGTTGTGTGTTGAAATTGTCTTAGCAACGCCGTGTTCTTGTGAATTGTTAAAACCGAGTGTAAATAGCATTAAATAATAATGAAAAATTGCACGTTGATTAAATTCATTCTTTTATCTAAATTATTGTTTAATTTACGTTCGATATCATTCTGAATATCGTGAAATGACGGTTGTTCGTGAAAAAAGGTATTTAAATTTGATCAAAATGGAAGAAACTGAAAGGAATATATCCGTACGATGCCCAAATAATGTGATGTTAGTTATAAATAAGTTTATTAATAAGTGTTTATATGATTTTAATTCTGTGAAGTGTTTCCTGTTTTTTATGACCGCATTGCTAGCAGTTACCTTCTGTCATGCTACAGGTAAGCGTTTCTTTGTCTTTCTCTACCTGGTGCATACATGTTTAATACAGGATCGAATTGTAATAAAATACTTCTAGTACTATTTATTTAACTTAATTTTATATTTCACAATCTTTACAATTGTATAATGTGGGTAGCATATATTTTTAATTGTTAAATATTCCGTTGATATTTTACAAAGTTAAAATATTTTACAATCTTAAATACTACCACTGTGTAGTATTTTAAAATATTATTCTACACTTTAATCATAATAATTACTCGATGCCTTCCAGGCAATTGTAATTGGATGAAAATAAAAAAAAAAAATATTTCGTTGACAATTTTAAATTAATAGTTTTCTAATAATAGTTCGGGTTATTTTTACTCTAGTAATATTTCAAACGACAACATTTAATTTTTACTACTCGGAATATGGTTTTTGTTGTTATATGTGTTTTCTAAATAATCTTTTAACTTCCCGGGGGATTGTAATCGTCCAAAAATCGAAAATGATTTTTTTCATATTCTTACGTTTCCGAAGTTTCAGAACATTTTGGCATACCTTAGAAAAAATGTATGTGTATGTATTTGTGAATACAATTCTTCATCGACGGTTTCGACCGTACGGTTCAACCGATTTGAATGATTCAAAAAGCAATCGATTCCTATTGACAGGGAGACGCGCTGATTAGTTTTAGACAAGAGAAACAAACAGGTCCACTAGTTTCGGAGATACGGAACTAAAAGTGCAAAAAATTGCAGTTTTTGTGAAAACGAAGCATCCGATTTGAATGATTCAAAGAATATTTTGCTTGCGAAGAAACGATTAGTTTTTTTATTTTTTTTTTATTTCAAAATTTAAGAAAAAAAATTTAATTACCAAAAAATGTTATGGATTTTAATTTTAACTCTAGCTGAAATTTTAAAGCTCATTCATATAATTGAAATAAATAATTTAAACTTTGCAATGCAGTTTATATAATTCTTACAAATATGAGATAAGTTTCTTCATTCTAATTCCGCTTGATTGAGTTTTGTTTATTTACTTTTCATGTCAATATATATAACATCGTCGTCGTTGTCCAATTTATAAGCTCTTATATTTTATTTATAAAATACGCATAATGAAAATTACAGTATTTACAATAATCTATTTGAAAACATTTTTCTCAAATATTTCATTATCGTACGGAAAGCTCCAGCAATTTGCCTTAAGGCACGACGCACAACTAGTTAGTTCATAATTTATTTAGATATCAGGAGAGATAAAATTGGTATCACAAAGACATTTCTCTCTAAACTACAAGATAGTAAATTATTTTAATGTCACCTTACCTCACTTATATCGTATAAATTTTAAGTTATAAGACCATTTTTACATGAACATTGCATTTCACTATTTACTACGTATTGTGGATTCGGCTTATGTTGAGAAATCCAATATTTGACTTATTGTTAGGATTATGAAATTAAGATTTATTAGTTATAACAATTTTAAATAAAACATTAATATACGAGCATAAAGCAGAACACTATTTTTACCTTAGGATTATCAAATTTCATTTTTTTTATTTTCTTATAGATTACAATCTGTCTACATAGACGGAAGACATTGAGTAATTAGTTTGACAAATAACATAGAATTTTAAAAGGAAAACCAAGTGGATCACCTTTTATTAATGTACTAAATTATATCTTACTTAAATATTGCTATAATAAAGAAAAAAAAAACTCAAATATATACATTACATTTCAAATGTTGAAAAAAAATTTGAAAAAAAAATTAATCGAATTTTATATAATCTTGGCTGATAAACCGTATAAATATTATGTGCCAAAGCACTATTATTATACTTTTGGAAAATAATGCGTTGTTTTCATAGAAACGCGTATGTTGATCTGCCGATGTCGTAAAATCATCTATATACCTTTTGCTACTATAAATTTTGAATTTTAATTATTTCAATTTTGATTGCCTTACAATTAGTCTTTTTTTACACAGAGAATTTTGTATTATTTTCAGAAATTTGAAATGCTTTTTCTTAACTAACAATAAGTGTGTTAAAAGTGTAAGTTAAAATTTATTCAAGTATTCATTTCTAAAAAAAGTTAAACTTTATATTTGGGGTTTAAATCCATTGCACTAATCTGCCATATTAGATGAATTGAATTTAAAATTGGTAATTCAGAATAACTATGTTCTAAGGGAGAAGATAATTGAAATCACTCAATTGATGAATTTATATTAATTGGGAATAATCTCAATAATTCGATTTAAAATAAAAGATTCTCAAATTATATAAATGAATAAAATAATTCTAAATAAGGAAATAAATCTACCTAAAGAAGAAAGAATATTTCAAGAAGTAAATCTATCTTGCACCAACATTAAATTTTAAAACATTTCAGTTTTTTTCAAAATATATTCATAAAGATATAGATAAAAAAATAGATATTTTAAAAATTATTTTTTTAAACAAGTTCATATTAAACAAAAAACTAATTTTCAAGTATTTAACATTTCTCAAACATTCAAAATTATTTATTATTCAGTTTTTTTCACATTTTTTTTTCATAAAAATAATCATGACAGCTTTTAGAATACTCTACTTCTGCTCTTCAATATGTGCATATATATTTTTATGAATGTTTTAAAAAAATATTTGAAATTCATATGTTATAACAGGGGTTTACATATATTGCACTAAATGAAGACTTGGATGCTGGGCGAAACGTATGCATTTCAAATGAATTTTTAAAAACATTCATAATTTTTTTATTGATGAAACGTTTATTGATTTTATTGAACATTTTGATTCATTATGTTCAGGCTTACGGCAATAGTTTGATGAAACTTTGCAATATCATTTTGCTCTTCAACTGATACTCAACAGTCGCAACAGCAATTTGTCTTTTAGAAATAAGACATCGTTCTATATACGGATCGATGTTCATATAGATATAGATTTAAGATTTTTCAAATTAATTGCCACTTTTCTGTTGCTCGTTGAAGCAATTGAATTGCTCTTCTTCGATGGACTGGAAATGTGGGCTTCAAGTCGGTTTGAACCAATTTTTACTAAAATATATTTTATCCATTGGATAATAAATAAGGCTTATTTCATTCTATTGGTTCACATTATCAAAAACACCGATAGCGGCAGAGAGGGCGAAGGCGGCTTATGTCAAAGTTTTTTTTAACAGTTCAAAATGACGGCATTTACAAAGGATATTGGGTTCGATGTACATTGGAATTCGCATAATGTAAATTTTAGCTGCGAATATAGGAATTGCGCAGCAATATTTTTATCCGCAAAGAGTGAAAACGCGAATTGACCCTTTCCACTCGCGAATTCCGAGATTTATGTGGCTTTTGCCGCCGGAGCGGCGGCATTCCAGTAGAAAGAGTTAAAAGCGAAAATAAGGAACTTCTGCTGTATATATATTTTATATACAAATATCAATTAAACGTACGTAATGAACATTTAAATAATTAATCAAATTTTATTAATAATTAAGATAATCATAGTCTAATGTGTCTATATTTATCGTTTTGCCATATTTTACATAACTTGGTAAAGTCACTTTCTATGTACATACTTCGTTATGTTATTGTAACGAGGTATGACATATATTCTCATTATATTAAGAGATCATTTACTTATACGTGGGCTGCAGAACAAACTTCGACAGTAAACAAAACTTTGCTTTTTGAATGATCATTTAGCGGCAAGTTTTACAGCTTTTCATCATGGTGATATTCTGCCAAAACACAATATAAAATCTAGGTAATAATTAGCAGGGTTTCAGGTTTTTACCATATAAAATTCAACATTTTTTTGTAAACTAGTCAAGTACAATAGATACAATTTTTTCTCTTACTTTCTCTGGCTTTCTATTAGCTTATATGGTTTGTAGTTGGATGTTTTGCCTTCCAACCAAAAGGATATAGGTTCGATACCCTTTCATTGATGTCAAGCAATAGTGACATTGATTTTTACTTAAAAATATATATGGAAATTTATTCACAAGTGGAAATAGCTCGTTTTCAGGAGTGCTGGACAAAATTAAACAATCAGTGTTATTATATTATACTGATACTATAGTATTATATATTTAATACATAGATAGTAGCCAGGTAGTTTAGAAGCATCATTAGAAGAGTTCATAGGACTCTTGAGTTCTGATTGCTGTTCAAAGGCAATTAAAGAAAACTTTTTCGTCTAGTCTCTCGTGTTCTTAACTACGTTAACGATGCCAAGATGCACCTAATGCGTCTGTTTACAGAGGCGAGGACAAATAAAACATACATAATATCAGTGCATTGATATCGTGTCTTAAGGCAAATTGTTGGAACTTTCCATACCGAAAATTATTTTTGTTAAAAAAGCTTGAAAAATTTGAAATTTTGGAAAAAAATTAACTTTATTGAAAAATTTGAATTCTTTTCTGTATTTTGAAATGTTTTGGAAAATTTGAATTTTTTAACTTCCCGTACGTAGGACAAATTATAGTAATCGCAAAAAAATTTTTATTATCTTTACGTTTCAAACGTTCTGAATATTTTAGCATACTTTAGAAAAAATTGATGTATGTGTGTGTGTATACAAATTTTTGTCGACGATATCGGGAACACCGATCAACCGATTTGAATAATTCAAAAAACATTCGATTCGCATTGATAAGGAGACGTGCTGATTAGTTTTTGGCGAAGGCGGGCCTAGCCGTTCCGAAGATACGGGGCAAAAAGTGGCAACAACGGTAACTCAGTTTTGAAGAGAACGGAGCGTCCGATTTTAATCATTCAAAAAATATTTTACTTGTATTTACAATATGAAGATATGATTAAATTTTTGGAAAGGCAGGTCGAGCGGTTATGAACTCTCAATAAAAATGAGTTAAAAAAATGCCATTTGGCGGTCAAAAATGTTCACTGGACTTATGTACATCAAATTATCAGGTATTTTATAGAGATTTTAATAATGTTTATACATTTTGTGTAAAGCTTTTGTGTTCCG